CGCCCCAGCGGGGCTGCCCTACGGCTCACGGCCCCGGGGCCGTTCCGCCCGCTCCCCCCGCTCCCGCAGGCCGGAGGAAACTTTTTCAAGCCTCGTTCGGGGGCGCGGAGCGGCTGCGGTGAAGTTGTGCCGTGCCCGGCTTCTCCAGAGCCGAGGCTGGGTTCGCGGTGAGGCTGAGAGACCCCGGCCGAGAGCCGGCAGTGAGGGAGAAGAGTCACCAGTGTTTACCTTTGTTGCTCCTGATGACCTTACACTTGTTGAATTCAGCTTTTTAAGGCTGACCTTGCAAAGTACTGTGTGCCGGCAGGAGAACAGAAAGTGCACAAACCCGTAGAAGACTTGAGTCCTTTTTCCTGGAGATCTCTAATTCCACTCCTGCTCCAATTCTGCTGTCGGTGCTGTTACAGCAATGGTTCCTCAGCAGGAGGCCTGGAAATGATTTCCTGCACAGAGAGACCTCCAGCAGTTCTGTGATCTTACCGTGGTGTACTCATAGAGACTGCCATAAATTAGATCACAAAATTACTTGAGCCTGAGATCTTGATTTTGGGGGATGAGAATGAAACACTACTTTCTAGGGAGTCTTACATAGAGTACAGCAGAAAAGGGCTAAGAATCCCCAAACCCCAAAACTAGTGGTTGAAAGCTGAAGCCAGACAAATTCAGATTAGAAATGAGGCAAAGATTTAAAAATCTGTGTGTTTATATTTAAGTTTTGAAACAAAAGCGGTGGAGTTCTGAATTCTCTGTCTTCATATCAAGGCTGGATTAGTTTACATTCTAGCTGAAGAAATAGAGGCTGTCAGTGCAGAAATGCTTCCTGACTCTGACCTGTCAAAAATCTTTTGGTTACTTCTGGCACTGCAGCCCACAGGCAAATTTCTTTGTTTTTCCCTCCTCTCCTCTCACCTCACTGGGGCTGTGTGACTGCTTTAGTGCTTCTATCTTTGTACAGACTTTGTACAGATCTCCTTTCTGTCTGCTCCGCTGCAGGGCTCTTTGACTCAGACCTTGACTTCATTCCTTCCACTACAACAATTTGGTTTGGCCTGAAGCAATACCTTTGTGAACCTATTTCGCCTATTCCTGTGACATCCTCTATGAGAAGGTTTGGGACAGCACTTTGTGATGCTAACTCTTGAAAAAGTAAGGTGCCTGTATGAAAGATAACTCTGGGTAATGTTTACAGAAAGTGGGGTTTTACATGGTGTTTTCTTGACATTTCCTAATTTCCTAATTTATTGCCCTATCTTGATCCTAAGCTCTAAAGCCCAAACTGCTACATTCACAGAACCTTAATTGTGTTCAAAGACCTAGAGACTCATTTGTGTTGGGAAAAACAATGACATCCTACGGACCAAATGCTGTCAATTCCAGGAAACAAGATTTGAATGATGTAATTTCCTCTGACTAAAGAAACTGTCACAACTTCATAAGGAATGTCCTGGATGTGAAATAGCCAGAGATATGCTTGTTTCATGGTTACAAATGTGTTACAGTCACACACGTGTCTATGGTCAAAGAGAAACTCCTGCATCTTGGAGAGCATGCCCAGGAATTCCAATGGGATCTCCCAAGAGCCAGAAGTGACTAACATTTTGTTACTTCTGTGTTCCGTACAAACCCAATCTGTGAACAGCAGCAGATAAAGCTTCTCTGAGGAGCTGCAGGGGTGGTTTCTGTGAGAAGTTTACCCCACATTCAACAGGCCAGTGCCAGCTGGCTCCAGTTGAACGTGCTGCTGGCCAAAGCTGAGTTCATCAGCAATGCTGGTAGAACCTCTGGGACAATGGAATTAAGAAGAGGAAAAAACCTGCACACCAACAACTGCAACCAGAGGGAGGAGTGAGAATATGAGAAGAACAGCTCTGCAGACACCCAGGTCAGTGAAGAAGAAAGGCAGGAGGTTCTCCAGGTGCCAGAGCAGAGATTCCCCCGCAGCCTGTGCTGCAAAGCCATGGTGAGGCAGCTGGGACCTTGGAGCCCATGGGGGTCCATGGCGGAGCAGAGATCCAACTGCAGTCCAGGGAGAACCCCCAGCTGGAGCAGAAAGATGTACCCAAAGGAGTTTATGACCCTGTGGGCACCAGTGCAAGAGCAGGTTTGCTGGCAGAACTTGAGACCCCATGGGGACCCCACTTAGGAACAGTCTGTTCCCAAAGGACTGCAGCCTGTGGTGGAAGAGACCCTTATTGGAGCAGAGCCAGGACAGCTGACCCCACCTGACCAAAGGGATATCCCAGACCAGATGATGCCTGCTCAACAATAAAGGCTAAGGAAAAAGGGTGTAGAGCATTTATTATTATGAAATTTGTCTTCTAGAACAGGTGCTACATGGGCTGAAGCCATACTTCCCCAAAAGGAGCTGGACATTGTCTAACGGGAAATAGAGAATAAATCTTTTGTCTTCCTTTGCTTCTGTGCCTGGCCTCTGGTTTTGCATTATTAAACTGTCTTTACTTTAATCCATTATTATTTTCATCCTATTTTCTCCTCTCCCAGTCAAAGAGGGAAGACAGCATCTTGGTAGGCAACTTGTGTTTAGCCAAAGCCAACCCACAATACATTTGTGTTTTTCAGATATCCTCAGGCAGGTCACATTTACACTGCTGATTGATGCTGAGTAGTCATTTTTGATTTGTATTGTGTCTTGTCATGAGCTGAGCAACCTGTGTCATAGTTGCTGCATAATGCCATTGAAAAATCCCCTAAAAGAGTGTGATTTAAATACATTTTCATTACTTTGTGTCTAACCAAGCTTGTTGCTACTGCTTTCTTGGTTTTCTTTGACTCCCATACAGAGTAAAATGTGACAAATGAATCATAAAGCTTGCCTTGTCCATGGAGTGTTTAAAAGATGAAAGGAAGCATATGCATGTTTGTGGATGACAGCAGAATTGCAACTGTATGAGGGGGCACTGGTGTTTGCAGTGCTTGAAATGTCTCTTGGCACGCTAATAATGTATTTCACTATTCTTTATGCTGCCTTAAATACATAAATATATGTTAATGAAGTTTAATATTTCGGCTTAGAAAACAATCCTGTCCATATCTACATTGAAAAAAGTTCTGAGATGAAATATGTGATGAAGTTAACAGGAAAAATGTGTTGAAGAGTGTCCAAGGAGTTGGTTTGATAGCTCAGCATGGATCTTTTTTGGCTTGAAGAAGGAAAATAGCTACTAAATTGAGAATTAAGTACAAAACTTGGGTAAAGCAGAAGTGATTCTGATGGGAGCTCTGCATTGGCTGTGGCTGATGTCCTAGGAAGCAGATGAAAAGTGCTGAACACCTTTAATGCCAATATAAGTCTTTGGATTGATATTATTTGGATTCATATTCTTATTAACACCACTATTTCTCATTCTATTTCTGTTTTACACAGAGGCCTGAAGATCTGCATGAACTTGAAGATCACCTCTTTCATTTTATGGGATTAGATCTAGGTTATGTGTGGCAATCCTGTAAATACTGGGGAAATGCAAGACTCAACGTTGTGGTACAGCCTTAGTTGGTTTCTCTCAAGCCAATTGATAATTATTACACCAGCTGAACCACAGTGCAGTAACTCTTTTGTAATGGAATCACAGTAAGCTGGTTTCCCATTTCAATTAATAACTTGTGAAAATAAAGTAAGTGCTTTTTGCTGATTAGGCATATGTGGCTGCTTGGAAAAAATGTGTGTGCAGTACATGGCAATTCAGCTTCCCTTTCTGTGCTGCATATTCAAAAGCACAATAAAATACTAGTTGAAAGAAGAATAAGATAAGAATTGGAATGTTGCTGACTATGGAGAAGGCATTGTGTTGAGATGGCAGACACTGCTGTCACTGCTCATTCTGACCAACCCACCTGGAGTAGATGTCCCTCTGTTGTGTCCCCATCCAAATCTCTTGGCAGTATCACTTTCAGATCTCATCCTTCCCTCTCTTCAGACCTTTAAGTTTATGCAGGCAAATAAACTGAGAGCCTCAGTCTTCCCTTTGTGCATTTGGTTCTTGAAAGAGATGGATTGTCCATGAAAGGCTGGCATGTAAGAGGCTCCTGTTGAAGTGACATGAAAGTGTTGCAAGATACTTGGAATGACTTAAACATACTGCACTGAGTGTTCTCTCAGCAGCTGCTGCAATGCACTGTTTCTCAGAGGCTTTAGGTAAAAAGTGAAGAGATCTTTGGTGCACAGGTACCTCTAGCAGTGCCCCTGTGATGAATTACTATTTACTGGATCTGCTAAAGCCACCCCTTTGGGGTCACAATTAAATGAGGCTCTCATCCCTTCTAAAAGGTAAAAAGGTGTATGTTTTTACATCTCAAATTTTTAAACTCTGCATCTACGGAGCAAAAAACTGGTAGAACCTAAGGTCCCAGAAGTCCCAGGATAAATAAAAAGGATGCAATATTAATTTGTTTTTTCTTAGAAAGTGCTAGATAATAGACTAAGAAAAAGGTTCTTATCTCTGTTTAAGGGTTCATATTTTACCCTTTCTGAGGGGTGTCAGTCCTCTATCATGTTTGCATATTCCTAGAGTGAAAATTACTTTTTTTTTAAATTACTTTATTTAGGGGCTGACTATGAATGTTGGACTAGACTTGGAAGACCACATTCCTTCTTCCTTTGCTGGCCCTTGACAAAAAAATCACCACTTCTATCTGCATCATTTATTCATATGTGAAATTGGAATGGTCACACACTCTTTGCTACTAAATTATCTCTGGGAAAGCTGGGTATGTTTAGAATAATTCACAGCTGATGTTTACCCATTTACAATTGTAAAATACATGCTACATCCATTCCCTTTTTAAGCCCTAAATATAACCTTGTGTTAGTTTCAAAATGACTGCTGGAAAATCTGATTACTTTTTTCTGTATTGCCATGATTATTTTAGAAACAAATCTTTACCAAGTATGTTCTTTAACATTGTTTGAGGTCCTCTGGTGTTCATTCATGCAGATATGGAGCTACCCAGTCTTCCCAAATACCGTGGGTACTATGAATAATTCCAGCTCACTTTATGGACAGGGACTGAAGTCAGGAAACTTCAAAGAGTTGTGAACTGTCCAGTAATGTGCAAGGGTTCTGCTATAACCTCTGTGTTATCTGTGTTTCAGTCTTCCACAAATGTAGTAATTGTTGTTTCATCCTAGTATTTATAACGATTTTGCTGCTGCCATTATGGAGATTTAAAGCATGGAGAGGTGGAATGGTGAAGATTTGGGCAATTTTGGCAGTTTTCTGTATATAAAGTGGTTGCAGTCAATGAGGCTGTGGTGAATCCACAGGGATATTAGAAAAAAAAGGAAACCTGTTCGTTTTAAATTGTGAAGAGTTAATAACTTGGTTCAACTTGCTTGGTTGAAAGCATGGAAGATGTATTTGTGTTAGTCACTTGTCTTTTTTATTTTATGAACCAGTTCTGAACAGCACTGTATAAAATTATTCTGTAATTAACTTTTTGGAATTGAAATAGAATGAATCATTAGAAGGAAACAGCTAAGCAGTGAAGATTTGAACTGAGCAAACACCTTGAACTCATGTTGGAAACCAATTGTGAAGGGGAGTACAAATGCAGCCTGGATTTGATTCAGATAACACCAGCCCAGAGTGACTTTATCCAGGAGGAAGGTAAGTGTGAGGCAGGGAGTTTTCTTCTCCTCCCTCTCAAAAGCTTGTGTCCATCTTTATGAAGCAATGTTAAGGAAATGTAAGTTACTGTGTTTGATATGAGTGGTAACAATGGCATAGAGTGTAACTGTACAAGATTGGGAGTCAATGTGCTTAAGCATCTGCTGGATTGCTCTGCTGGAATAGGATATTAATTGTTGCTGTTAATAGAAATTTCATAATATTTCAGTAGCCACCTGTAGCTAGCTGGATTTAAGATTTATGTATAATCATTATGCCTATTCAGTTTTGTAATTTAAAAATAGATTTGATGATTGTAGGAGAAGGTAGGTGGGGGGGGGGCGGAGAGAAAGAAAGAAGGAATGACCAGGGACAGACCTTCCTGTACTGCGAGCCTTTTCCTGTTTTTTGTTATGTGTGCTGCAGAAGAGGGGATTCAGGGATTTTTTGTTTTTTAGGGAGCTATTTTCTGATAGTGTTTTAATGAGAAATCACAGTACACTGCCATTAAAAGCAGTATGTGCAGTCAGAAGGGTGTGTTTTCTTCATTTGTCCCTGCACCCACATGTATATCTAATATTCTAGGAAAGGCTTATCAATTTTTTCCAAATATCCTATTCACACAGCTTTGATGAGCCTGCAAGCTTCTTCCCATCTGGATTGCCTTGATTTTACGCTCCTATGGCATCAGCCTGTGTATCTCTCTTCTTCAGGTGAGATCTACAGCATCGGCTATCCTTGAAGAGAGCAATGCAACAGTGGCAATGTAACACCTTTCTCAAAGAAGAAACCTGTTCCTTTTCTTTGTCTGAGCACCGGTGCGATCTATAAAAACGCTCTAAACTCCTACTCTGACTTCAGTCACAGTTTATGACTACATCGAAGTTTATCTCCTCTTTGGCAGAACTTAAGGAAGGTGAAGTCTGCGCTCCCTCTTGTGGTACATGTAGAAATATGAAGAAACTTCGGGGAAAAACTGCCTGTAACAGTGAGGGAAGCTGAATGTGTTTTACTTAGCATCTTGTGACAGAATAAACTGAGATTTCTGATGTTACTCGAAGTGGTGTGAAAGTACAAGGTCAAAACGCAGACCTGAAGCAAATAGCTTTCTGAAGCAAGGCTAAATGCTGGATTTTATTGTAGCTTTTCAGTAGTCAGGAAATGCAGAATGATGAAATACAATTATATATGCTCTGTTGATTGTTGATTTTTACATATACACATGAAAGAACAGCTTAGGAATACTTACCTCACACTAGTTAAATTTTTATGTCACTTCCTGCAGACCTTTGTGCCATTTGGTGTATTTTTCCCTTTCCCTTACTTCTTCTTCAGGTTTGTGATCTAATAGCAGAAAATGCATTAATTTAGTGATCCATTAGCCTGCTTGGCCCTAGATTTTACAAAACACTTACATTGGATGTGCAAAGATACTTATCCCATAGGTGGAAGTTATGTGCACTCTAGAGATGAGAAAAGGAATACCAACAGAAAACCACACCCCAGATTACTGCTGGTTGCTCTAACTCTGTAAAGATGCTGTGTTTTCCTGGGCTCCATAATGCCACTTGTGATAATGTGTTTTTCTAATATTTGTGCCCTCAGAGAAGAGTTTTTTTAAACTTTATAGTGAAGCATTATGTGCAGGGTGGGGAGCCTGATTTGAAGAGGAATTCACTGTTTGTGCATGTTTAGCTTCATGTCTTTGCCATGGGCTGCAGTGTTACTGCATACACACATGTGAGATTACCCAGAGCCTCCAGTGCTGGAACCCTGGACACAGAGAATTTCATGCTTTCTGTGCTGACAGGCACAAACCCACAAGAAAACACTGTGTTTGACCTGAGGCCATGGAAAAGGCTTCCAAAATTAATAGATAGAACTGAAACTGTGGGTGTGTAGTTTAAACAGAAGTGTGTTATGTCACTTGGATATTTATTTTGGAAAATTTAGACTTTAAGGTTTTAGAATATAGTAATATGTGTGCAACAAGATGGAGGTACTTGGGCATTGGTTTGTCTTTGCCTTTCTTCCTTCTTCTTCATGGATTTGGGTGATATTGGGTGATTGGACAGAAAGGTATGCAGTGCAGAACACAGATTATTGGGTTAAAAGTAAAAATAAATTAGTTGTCATTTGATAATTGGATAGTTTATGCTTAAAAGACCTTGTGGACAGAGCCTGAGGTCACCATTTGTAGCTTGTTGGGTTACTGTGTAGAAGTGCTTACTGTCTGTAAAAATGTAATATAGATAAGAAAAATAAACATCCTAAATGCGAATGCAAAAACCTGTTTGTCAATCCGATCCTGGGGAAAAGAACTGGACACTTTTACCTCTGGTACCCCAGGGACTTTTACATTTGGTGCCTCGTGTGAGAGACTTTTACACTCCAGGACCCCCAGGAGCAGCAGTGAACTGGTTCAAAGTCTGATCTTGAAATTACTGAGAAGCAAGTGAGGAATATCCGACAGAGTAGTTATGTAGTTGTTAAAGATGTAACTGGTGCTACCCAGTTACAGAAAAAGTGAAACAGGTCTACTAGCTCAGTTATACAGAAGATACTCAACAGAATGACTGTTCTCATTCACTGTGGTTTTGGCCCAATAATAGTTTAAAGGAATGATGGCATCACTACCTAAGCAGGCTAATAATATTCTGCAGGTAATATCATGACTTCCCTTCTCTGTTGACCATAACTGTGTCCATTGAATGTCTGCACTGTCCAATATCATCCAGTATCACCAGCAGTCTTGTGGACAGTATGAGCCATTAATGTTTGTTAGATATAGTGGGATTTTGAGAAGGTGGGATAGAGTTCATTTTCTCTACAGTAGTTGTTTTGGGTCAATGGTTTGGATTTATGCTGGAAACAGTGCCGATAACTCAGAGAAGTTTTTGTTACTGCTGAGCAGGGCTTATCCTGAGCCACGGCCTTCTCTGCTCCTCACCCCACCCCAGCAGCGAGAGGCTGGGGGTGCACAAGGAGCTGGGAGGGGACACAGCCGGGACACTGACCCCAAGTGACCCAAGGGATATCCCAGACCAGTGGGGTTAAACCACTACAGTGGTGAAAAATGTTAACATTAATGACAGACTCTGTTTTTGATGTGGCTCACTTGGAAGTTCCAAGCAAAATTGCTTTGCATTTCTCTTTGCTGCTATTTAAAGAATTTGAGTTTGCAGCAGAATGCATATGCAGATTATTTTTAGTTTTACTGATGGGTAGAGGAAAAACCATGCAATGAAATCAGTAATTACCTTATCTGGATTATAAACTGGGCTTTAGCCCTAAAGTGCCCCAAGCAATGCAAGCATTGAGTGAGCCACTGGTACTTATTTTCAGGGAGTACAGGTTGTTGTAAATGTGGAACACTGTGAAGTATCTTAATTTTAAAAGTCACTTTAGGAACATCATCCAGAGCATGTTAAAGTGGGTAGGTGTCTTATATTTTTCCAAGGTGTGGCTGTCATGGAGCTGGGGGTTTGCAGAGATACAGAAATAAATATTTCAGTGATGTGAAGTTTTGCTTAATGATTGGACACATTTCAAAACATACTTGAGATCTACTGGAGTATTCATTGCCCAGGTAACACCCTTAAACCCTTTCATTGTATGAGCAGTAGAGGATGGATGCTTAAGCAAAGAAGTGGACTGGCTGCAGAAGTGGATGAAAGCTCTCGCAGGGAATTGGAGCAACAAAGCACAATAAAAAATGTGCTACTTAATTAAAAAAAAGTCAGTGGACCAGATGGAATTTAAATAGTTGTTGCACTGTATTAGGAATAGTGATAGTGACGACACAGACTCTCAAGCTTAGTTGCAAAACAGAGCAAGCTTTATTCTTCCAGATCCTCTCTTATAGACAGTTCCAAAAAGGTCTGAAAAGGTAAAGCTTTCATTGGCCATCAAACCAACACATCACCATCATTGGGGACTTAGGAACAACACCTCTAGACCATTTCTTGCAGGTAAACAACAAGGAGACATACAACACCTGCAAAGGTTGTTTTCCTTCTCTAAGGACTGTTCAAGTTCCTCCTCACAATTTCTCAGGCCACATTTCTCAGGCCAGTGTGAGGAAGTTATGTGACTTAGTTTCACACAGACACTGTGCTACCTGCCTGAATTCCTGCATTCAGCATCCACAAAGAGTGTCTGTGAAAAATCTATCTCATGGGTGTTAGAGGTGTGAGCTGCTGTTTGTCCTGGTGGTGCAGTTCCAGCTACTATCGGTTTTGGAATGTGCTAACTACAGTCTGAAGTCTAAGGGACAAATCTGTTTCTTTCTTTTCATCCTTAAATGTCTCAATGATGCTATCCCCAGGTATTTACAGCTCAGGAGGAAGGAGGCAAGCAATTAAAATAGTGGCCTGTAGAACCCTGAGGTTAAAATAAATGACTGGTGTCATATGCTCCTGTTTGTATACTTTCTGTCTTGGAGCTGTTCAGGAAACACCTTTGTCCACTGCTCCCACTACTGCAAGTAATATGACTTTTTTTCCTCTTTAAAACGAAAACCTGAGCTTCTGATGGGATCATGCGAGTCTAGTAATTGGATCTTTTAAACAGACCCATGAAATAGTGCAGCACTTGTGGTGAGTTATGGGAGTGCTGACAAGGCTTTAAACGAGGGCTCTGTCATAATTCTTGCTGCCCATTTGCTGGTGAACACGGACATGTGCTGCTCTCCTTCCTAGTATGGAGACGAGATTGTTACAATTATCGAGAAATGAAGCAGAGATTTATTTTTACATTAACCTGCTACATAAATATCTTTTATACTGTGCAGCTGATTCACAGTCCTCATTAATGGTTTAAAGTTGCTAGTTTGTCTCTTTATCATGTTGATAGACCTGTTAAATGAAACCCTGGGAAATCAGACACTTCAGTCCTGTGGCCAATGGCAGCTTTTCACAGCAAAGATTTCTGGCTGGGCTGTACGTGCCAAATGTTCAGGCAGCTTGTGCTTATCAGCATCCATTATACTTTTTGTTGACTTGGACCATTAATAACCTGTCAGATTAGGTAATTAGGCTGTCTCGAGTAGCCAGGGAAAATTGTTTTTCCTAACTGATGGTATGGGTTGTGCAGTTGTGCAGATAAGCACTTGGTCAAAAGGCAGTTCAGGCAATTTTTAACTGGCCTTGCTGATGAATGCAAAAGTAGTGCTGAGACATGAGGGCCAGATAACAACAGAGGGACAGGCACAAAATAAAATTACCTGCCACTTTGGAAATTCTCTCAAAATAAGACACTGCATGTAGGAGCAACTATGTTAATTTCAATGCTCTGATGTTTTTACAAGCATTTTCCCCTTTTTCTGAATTAAAACTCATCCCAGACTAGGTAGAATTATGAGGAGTCTCTCAAGAAGGTATCATTTTACCCCTGTAGTAAAGCTGGCTGCTGGTAATACCCATTACTGTTGTGAGATTCTCTTTGTTCAGTGACCTTCTTTCTTTGGCACTGATGGAGTCTGTCATGTCCAGGAAATGCTTCTGCAGTTAGTAGGTGCAGGAAATATTTGTTTATTATTGTTTATTCTGTTGAAGCTGGGGTCCCAGTTCTTGGGTGAAGGACATTTATCTATTTCTAGAAGCAACCTTCATCATGAAAAGGCTGAGTGTTTTGGCAACATCCATCAAGTAAGTTTAGTTGTGTGAAGACTTTCTACTGGAATAGACAAGAAAATTAATTTTCCTGAAAACCCATTTGGGTTTTCCACAATTAAGGGGCTATGTTCTCAAAGCTTGCTTTATTTGGGCCAACTTATAAGATGTCTGCAAGGGTCATAGAGGCAACTCTACTTGGTAAGATTGGTAAGATGAATGAACACATGCACAGAAAGGTGTTTCAAGAGAGAATTTAATATACTCATTCCTCTGACTTGGAATGACATTTGGGAGGGAAGCAAACCAGCACAAAAATAGTGATTGTCCAGATCTGATTGCACTGACACTGACAGATTCCCACAATGGGTTGAGATGGTGGCATCAAAACATGCTCAGCTGCCCTGTCATATAGACTTACAGGGAAATGGAAGAAATAAGT